GCAATGATATTACGCAGCACCTGAAAATAGGCTAACTTCCACCAACATGACCACCTGCTTGCACAGGGAGCGTGCCTTCCATTGGAAGTTACCTAGCTGGGGACTATTTTCAGGCGCTGAGTAATATCATTGCGCCTGCTGCACCCATGGTACGGCAACAAGGTTCCTTGATTATTACGCCGGAATGAGAGTTTGGTCATTTTTGAGCGAGATGCTAACGGTCTAATCAGATTCAATGATCTATGCTAAGCTGCTGCTAAAAGTGCTACCGCCAGACCCGGAGATCGGCTGAATGGATTAGAAAATAGTAAAACTCACCTGTTTAACTCTAGGGGAGTTGGAAAATGAGCCTATTTTCAAAAATAGTGGAGTGTTCCTTTAACTATTACTAAAAGACAAATATATAAAAACATATATACTAAGCACTATATGCGTTTCCTTTCCTCATGGCATTTTTTTTTTTATTACAATAATTTTTAATTAGGAATTATATCGTTTTCCCCCCCACAATTTTCAAACATCGATCTTGACAAGACTTTCCTAATTCCTAATTAAAAATTATTGTAATAAACATCCCACACAACAATGTTACCCATGTAACATTTACCAGAATACATTGTGGTGCTTTATCCCCCACCCAGCTTCTGTTATCAAATACCCACCAAGAGTGTTGAATGAGTTACGGGGTGTCCGTGTCTGATACGACAATCTGAGACCCATAGCAGTCAGTTTAAAAAAAACACCTGATCCCTTTAATCAGGTTTAAAGATGCCTGCCACCCCTGAACCGGCTCCAAGTGAGTGTGAACCCATTTAATCCTCCTTTACTCTGGGATCACCTCTGCGCTGAGCTGTGAATTTCTCCACCAGTGTCTAGAAATCTTAAATCTGCTTGGTAAACATCTCTTAGAAGGAATGAGAGCACCTTCAAAGGATACGGTTCAAGTCTGGGCTCACCTGTGAAAGGTCTTTAGTCCAGTGGGGTTAAAGCGAGTCGCTAAAAGGCACCTGAGTTATGGTCACGGCACTTAAGAAAAGAACCACAGAAGAGGGACCAACAGATTTCAGAAGATGTTTGTTGAGGATCATTGAGAGAAATAGCTCAAGAAAAAGCTTGTATATTTACACACAAACACACAAAAAACCAAATTCTAGAAGTTTATTTATGGTTTACTACAGTATGATCCAGCAACCCTTAATTTGTATTGAATATGCACTTGTAGTATATTTAAATTTCAAAAAGTATATTTAAA